GATTTCCCAATCAGCAAAGCTCACAGAGCTGCCACAAGCAAAGCACAGGAGCACTTCAGCCCATGCAGTGACCAGCCCTGGCACACCAGAGCTCTGCCAGAGCTCCCAGCTCTGCTCCTGCAGGGCACCTCACTAAATGCTCCTACAGGGCAGCCACAAATCCGTGGGTGCCTCTGAGAAGCACCAGGCCCAGCACCACCTCCATCCCAGCCACAGCTTCCATCATGAGCCAGGCAGGGCCAAATTCAGCACATGTGACAGCAGTGACAGTGTGAGACAAGCAAGGTGGCTCTGTCTGGGGAGCAGACCCTGCCCACAACAGAGTGACAGCAGTGCTAACAGGCACTCAGCCCAGAGGAGTGAGCTAAGGAGAGTGAGCTAAGGAGAGTGATCTCTTGTGATCTCTCCCACAAGAGATCCAAAATCAGGAAGTGCAGCACTGAGTAGAGTCAAAACTGAATGAGTTCTGTTGGGTTTTTTTCTCCAGGCTCATGGACGGCACTGCCAGAGCAAGGCAGTGAGTAAAAGCAGGACAGCAGAACAGGGCACAGCAGGCAGAGAGGAGGCAAGTGCAGATTTCCCAGACAAAAACAGGAGGGCAGGACTGGGAAAACACAGAAGTGCTGCCCTTCCTGCAATGAGTACTGCAACCTTGCTTTGTGTTTAGTGAGCCATCCTGAGATGGGGCACCCAGCAAGAAGGAGACACTTTCTGAAGAGCATCTTGATTTTCAGCTGGTAGGTGTAGCAGCAGTGAGTGATCCAGTCAAGCCCTTGGGATGGAGCAGATGGATCAGCTCTGGGCTGGAGCACAGATGGACCAGGTCTGGGCTGGCTGCCTCTCCTATGCCCAAGGGCACAGCTACACCTGCTTTCAAGAAGAAAAATGCAGGGGCCTCAGCTTAGCAGGGTCTGTCCCTCACCTTTTAGGCAGAGATGCCTTCTAGGAGGTCTGGGGAGAGCCACCCCCGTCTGACACTGGTGTGTGCCCTCACCACCACCGAGGCTGGGTCAGCAGTGTGGAAGCAGCTGAGACAGCACTTGGAAATCTGTGTGAACACAAAAGCCATGCCCAGCCACCGAGGCACAGGCAGCCCCAGACAACCCACGGGCTGTGAACAGTCCCTGCTTGTGCTCCCACCTCCCAGCAGAGTCCTGTACTCCTGTTTGCTGTACTTGCACCAGGAAACATCAATAGCTAAGGGAGCTCTGGGGCTGCCCTGGGCCCCACACCCAGCTGCTCAGGCCCACGGTGTCCCACAGCCCCTCAGAAGAAGGTGCTGCAATGATGTCAAAGAGCTGACACATCCATTTGCAAGAATTCCAACCACACTGCAAGAGGATCTGAGGAACAGCATCGCCAAGAAGACCCACAGCTAGACCTAGACCCTCTGCAGGCATCCCAGCCAGCCCCGTGGGTAACAAAAGGCAGACACTGCTGGAGAAAGATCCACTTTTGCTACCCAGACATTGTCCTGCAGAACCAGCACAAAAATGCCATCCAACAACCATTCCCCAACAGGATAAAACAGAACTCCCTTCTTCCTGCCACAGCACAAAGGACAGTAAAAAGAAAGAAAAATGCAAAAGATACAGAGCCAGGCTAAAGTAAGGTCTGGACTAGTCTCTGAAAGCAGAGTTGTTGCAAAGGATAAAATTGAAAATTACCGTAATGTGCTGTATTCCTTTTACGGACTTTGCAAATAATAGAAAGTGATGACTAAATGAAAAAGAAACTGTGAACTAACTGGGAGGATGGGTCTCTGCAGTGGCTGCCAGCAGGAACAGAGAGCCCCATGCCTGAGCCCTCCACAGCTCTCCAGAGCAGAAACTCACCCACACACTGGACACAACTGCAGAGACAGATGTCCCACAGAGCTGAGCAGGCAGTGGACACCCAGCCCATGTTGGGTGAACAGCTGAGTCCAAGCCCAACCCCATACTCCAAGTCTGCAGCAATTTGCTGTCAAAATCCAGCCACAAAGACTTGGCTTTTCCGCTGGGGTAGAGTGGGGACTTCACAAATAACACAGCTCGCAGGGACACGCAGGCACGAGCCCTGAGGATGCTGCAGAAGCCAAGCCAAAGGACAGAGCTCCGTGCCCTCACCTGCAGCCCAGGGCAGCACACAGCTGAGAGCAAGGTGACACAGGGGACCCTGCTCCCCGAGAGCAAAGAGCACAGGGCTGCTGAGGCACCAGCAGGACATTCCCAGAGCAACAAACAGCCTGAGGCTAAGCTGGTGACATCCCTCCCCATCGGGCACCCCTTCCACAAAGAAACAAGCTGATGGTAAGACAAAAGAGATCCTGAGACCAGCAGGAGCTGCACACCGTGTCCACCTACAACCTCGGGCGAGCAATCTGGTTGGGATTCACACCCACCTCATCTTTACATGTAATTTTTCAAGAAAGCAGATCACTCAAAATGGCCTGTGCCTCGGGATATGCATGGACTTATCTGCAGAGAAGTGTCATTGCTTGTAAACCCAAACACAGTTGCATAACCACATGGTTAAAAGATAACAACACAAATTCATACATGGCTGTATCCTTATGCACGAATACTCTTCAGCGACATGATGTCAGAAGAACCCAAGAGTCACCACACCATTTCTTTTTCAAACTGTTTTCTTTTACTTTTAAAATGTGGGCTTTTAAAATATAAAAAACCTAATTATTTGAAAAAATAAGTAATTGTACTTTAAAGGAATAACAGCAGATTAAATGCCACCTGAAGTCCAGTCTTGTTTCAAAGCTTTCAGAAACAATCTAATCCCTCTAATGAAATAAAGTCTGTGGGTTGAAAAAGGGGCTTCAAATAAACAAACATTCCTTCTGCAACATTTCCAGCCAAATTTTACTGCTATGGGATAGTGATTATGAGCACAAAAGTAAAATTTGCTACAAAAAAAGCCTTGCTAGTTCGATATTATTTTTAATGTGAAAAAAAAAAAACCAAAAGCTGACCAGACAATATAAACAACAAATGGTAAATTGTGACCCTTTTCTCATAATCCTTACACACAAGAAAGAACTATGACTTTTTCAAACATGACATTGCATTTAAGTAATGAAAATATATTTTTTTGTGATGGAGCTAAGAAGAATAGGATTTTAACTGTTATTTTTAACCCAAAGACAACCTTTTCTTTCCTTTTTTTTTTTCCTGGAGGCCTGCTAGCTTCTTTTGAAAAAGAGTTTTAAAACTGACCTTGTTCCAGTAGCCACTTCTCTGTCATAGGTATGAAATCACCATATCATATTATAAAGTGTCAATGCACCAAAAAGCAAAGGGCATATTTTTTTTTTTCAGAAGGAACAAAACTGGCTTTTTTACCTATGAAACATCACATACTTTTTCTTTCATAAGCCCACCAATTTCAGCGCTGTATTATTCGGCAACCGGCATTTCATACAGAGACCAAACCTCACTTGATCTGACCCTCACCTCACTGGAGCAGAGACGTGCGTGAGACAAAAGTGAGCACAGAATCTGGGCCACCTTATTTAGATTTCAGCGGGCTCTACCCTGTGCTACTCTCAGGGTACTGTCAACATTTCAGGGAATTCATCAATGAGCAGCAGAACCACCTTTTGGCCTTGAACACAAACAAACACAGCACCAGAACAGAGAAACCGTTTCAGACTTAAAGCCAGAGAAACAATTTATTTTCAGCATTTAAAAACTGATGTACCAGGACAATGATCTCCAACCCTGATAATTGTTTGCTGCAAATACTCATTACCCAGTGCTCTTGAAAGAAGTGGAGAGCATTCATCAGCCTCACAGGGAAAGCCTGGCAAAGCCGAGGTTCTGAGCTGGGCATGCAATCTGTGAGTGCAGAGACTGCAGGCTTCAGCCATGCTCTGTGCATTGGGCACTCTGAAGAGACAGAAACAGGTCCCAGAGAAGCAGTCATGAGCTGAGATTTCCTCAGCGGTATGCAAGACTGTGTTGCAACACACGGCATTCTAACAGCACAGGTACCAAGCCAGGAGCAGGGAGAGAGAGGCACATTCTCCATTTATTTCCTCAGGCCATGCAAACAAGCTCTGGAGAACCAGAGCTCTGCGGAGCCACCCACCCATCCTTCGTAGCCCTCTCAGGTCCAAAGGCTCCCCTGAGGTGCACTGCTCTGTCTTACGAAGTTATGTCTGAACTCCAGAGCCTGCCCCTCCTCGCTGCTGCCTACACCATCACCCCGAAACCGGTCTCGTTCATGCACAAAACCAGGCTAGACGAGAAGACAGGGCAGATGTCCCCAGACTGTGCAGGATGTTAAAACTGTCAGAAACCAACGAAAAATGAAGAGGCATCAACTGCATCCCTGCACACCCAGACGCACGGGCAGTGCCCGCAGGAGCCCCGGTGCCACAGGGTGGGATGCCCGGGAGAGGCACCTGGGCGGCAGCGCCGGGCCAGGGCACGCCGGGGAGCAGCTGCGGCTGCAGATCTCGCTCCCAGAAGGCCTGGGCACAGCCAGTTGGGAACCACATTTTAAATGAGCAAAGTGCTAGTTTTAGAGTAGTTATTTTTAGTTTGTTGTTAGAAAAAAAAAAAAAATGTGGCTCTGTGAGGAGAGATGTTACCCGGCCGGCTCTAAGGGCTCCCGCTGGGCTCCTCGGGCACAGCAGCCACACATCCACAGGCGCCCACAGCAAATTCCGTGCGGAATGGGCACGGAATGGGTACGAAGGCTCCGGTCTCAGCGAGAGAAACGGGCAGATGGATCTCGGGTAGGAAGGAGCCCGAAGAGGATGTTTTAAGATACCACCGGTGAAAAAAGGAGCTCCAGCTCTCCAAGCACCGGACTGTTTTAATTGGGGGGTGCGCTCGGACCCGCCGCTGGCGCGGCCGCGCCGGAGGCATCAAACCTCCGGCTTCGCCCGCCGGCACCAAGGAGACCGGGGCACCCCGGGGCACTCCGGGACATCCCGGGGCACCTCGGAGCGCGGGACTGCCCTACCCGAGGCGGCGGCGACCCCGGGGCCGGGGCGACTGGGGCGGCGGCCGCGGCGGCTCCCCCGGGCCGGGCGCTCGGCCTCCCGCGGCATCCTGCGAGGCACCAGCGGAGCGGAGCGGAGCGGAGCGCAGCCCCCGCAGCCGGGCACGGAGCGGAGCACAGCCTCGGCAGCCGGGCACGGAGCGGAGCGGAGCGGAACCCCTGCGCCCCGGCACGGAGCGGATCGCAGCCCGGGCAGGTGAGCACGGAGCGGATCTCAGCCCGGGCAGGCGGGCACGGAGCGGAGCGCAGCCCCTGCGCCCCGGCACGGAGCGGATGGCAGCCCCGGCAGCAGCGCGGAGCCCCGAGCGGCGGCGGCGGCGAGCGGAGCCGGTGCCGGCACCGGGCGGGCAGGGCGCGAGGCGGGGCGCGGGCGGCGGGAGCGCGGCGGGGGCTGCATGTGCGGCGAGAGCCGCCTTCCTCCCCCTCGCTCCCTGCCTGCCTCCCTCCTTCCCCGCCAGCCCAGCCCAGCCCAGCCCTGCCCGGCCCAGCCCAGCCTCTGCTGGAGACTCTGAGAATGCAGCGCCGGGTCCGCACCCCGGGCTGGCCCCGGGGCCTCCCCAGGGACCCGCCCCAGGGCCCCCGCCCGGCCCCGGGGTGCGGCCCCGGCGGGGCGGGGAGGCTCTGCCCGCAGCCCGGGTCCGCTCCCCACCCCCGGTGCCCCCGCGTGGTCTCCGCCGCCCCAGTGCCTCGCCGGCCGCCCCGGGGGCGGGAGCAGGGCGCGGACAGGGGCAGGGGCAGACCTGGCCACCCCCAGGCCAGGGCCAACCCTCCTGTGCCCGGTGCTGAGATCCAGCTCAGTGCGTGGAGCACAGCACTGAGCCGGGGTGCCAGGGCATCAGCCAGGTCAGGGACAGAGACCCCAGCCCATGCTTCCGCTGCCTTTGAATGGTGCCAAACATTGATGGCCCAGTGGCAGGAGCTGTGTCAGGGGCTCTGGGCATCTCTGGGGCTGTCAGACCCCCTCCTGCTGTGCACCAGGTGGCCATGGCTGTTGGCATCCTCAGCACCCACCTCTGCCTTCTCCAGAGTCTTGCCCAAAGCATGGTGGGCACTGTCCTGGCCCAGCAGCATTTTGAAGGTGCAGGGGCAGAAGTGGCAGCACAGGTTGTTGCCTGCAGTAGAGTCACGCACCAGCAGCAGGATGCTGGGTGTACAGAGCACTCTGGACCAGTGAAGATGGAAGCAGAGAAGAAGCTCAAGGCTGGTGAGACTGCAGTACTGTATTAGGGGATGGATAAATATGCTCTTGCAAGTCAGGTTTTAGTCACAGCTCAGGCAAATGGACTCCAGTGGGACATTTCCCATTCTCCACTGCCCAGACACGCACATCTTACCCGGAGAAAATAATCCCCTGTGTCCACGGCATTCTCTGCTGTTTGGCCCTGAAAGGAGCACAAGAGAACACCCGAGGAGGGAATGCTGTGTTGCTCCATTTGTACAGCACCTTGTGTACAAGACAAACAAATCCTCTGCTTGGCCAATTTAGTCAAGAAACAGTAGTAACCCAGTAGCAGGTTATCCACAAACTCTGTGGATCGGGTGCTTCCTGTTCAGGCAGGTGCCCTGAAGGTGAGGGAGAGGTGGGTGGAAAGCGAAAGAGAGGTTTATAAGCACAGCATGGATCCAGGAGGAGTGGCTCTTCCTTTCCAGGACAAAAAGATGAGCAGGATGCAGACCCAGCAGCAGGCTCTGGCAGCTTTATTTCCCACCTTTGCACAAGGCTTCCCACCATCCTACTGCTGCATGACTCCCACCCTCAAAGGCCAGGGGGGCCCTGAAGACATCCCAGGAAATGCTCCATATCAGCCTCTTCAGACACAGAAGCATCTAGAAATATCCTCAATCCCAGTGTGAGGCTGAGAGACCTGCCAGCTGCAAGCACTGCTGCCAAAGTGGATCCCACTTGAGCCTGAGGCTCTTGTAGGGAAAGGAGCAAAGCCTGGAGCACAGCTGCTGCACTGCTAACACAGTCTGCAAACAGAGACCGTGTGCTCAGTGCCAATCTAGCCCTGGGACACCTGCAAGGCTCTTGTGCCAGCTAGGACACTGGCACTGGGAACACCCAGATCCTTTCCCTGGGACAGCCAGGAGGTCACCTCGCACAGTGCAGGTGGAGTTGAGCCCACCTGCCTGGAAGCATCCAATAAGCTGGTGGGATACTGGGAGGAGATGGTCCCAGCACTTGTCTGTAGTAGTGATGCCCTTTTCCAGCCTGTTTTTGCTAAGACTCCCTTGTTCTGAAGACACAGAAGATTTGTCTCTCCTCCCACTCCCCCCTCCCCTGTGGCACAGCAGCTCTGTTCCTGATGTGGTTGAAGAAGTCCCTGCTTACCACACGTGGGTTGGACTAGCTGACCTTTAAAGGTCCCTTCCAACCCAAACCATCCCATGACTCCATGAACCCGTGCCCTCCTGCTGCTGCCGTGCAGGTGCTGGTGAGGCCAGGCAGCCTGTCCCAGCCAGCCCTGGAGAGCACCACAACAAGGCACTCTGTGACAGTCCTTCCCTGGCACCCAAAATCAGTGGTGCTTCAGGGTGTGCCCAGGTCACAAGGCCAGCAGCCACACGGGGAAGGAGAGCTGGAGGGTGCAAAGCAGGAGAGCTAAGGACCACCCGTGACATGCTCACCCTGTGGCTCCCCATGAACACTGAATGCAGCCTCCACGGCTGTGTCCCAGCCCCTCTGAGAAGCTGACATGTCACTTTCATGTTGTGTCTTGTATGTGCAGTGACAGAAGGATGGACAGGTCATCCTTTGACTTTGCTGCCATCCCCTTTATCTCCATGAGAATTTGGTCCTCATCTGGCTTCTCTTTTCCTCTTATTCTCATCACTGCTTTACCCCAGTGTTTAAATAGCTCTTTTGTATTTTTTTAGCTTTGCTCTTCCTGCAGCACTGTTCCCTTACTCTGTTATACTCTCCCCATCTCATTGAGCTCCAGGCCCCTTGCTTTGTTCTCTCCCTATCTCTCCCTTTCTTTCTGCTGGTGCCTTGTTCCTTTTCTTGTTGTGATTTGTCTTCTCTGCTCTGTCCCTTTCACTCTTCTATTCTCCTTATCTCTTTTTGCTTCTTCCTCTTCCTTTTCCCAGTCTTTGCACTTCCCCCCTTCCTCTCTGTGCCTTTGTCTGTAAGGAGTTGAAAGTTAAAAGCTTTTCCAACTTGATCCTGAGCAGCTTTCCCTGGTGCTTTCATCTCCACAACACATTTGTAAAACTGCTCAGACTGAAGAGCCATGACATGAACAACTGAAGAAATATCAGAAAGAAACAGGACTCCCAACATGGAATGGAAATCTTCCTTTCCCAAAAAAATCTCTGTTTCACTAGCACTGAGATTTTTCTCTCCACAGCTCCTTAAAACACAACATAAAACCCATTTACCACAATCTAAAACCCATTTACCAAGATTTCATTTTCCTGGCCTCATCCTCCTTCCTGGAGACTTCCTGGGTTTCTGTAGGGGGTAGACACAGGGGTGCCTGAGAACTCCCCATCATCTGCCAAAAAGTAGCTGTGACCAATCTGTTCTCCCTTCTCCATCTCTAACAGATCCTGCCAGGTGTGTCAGGGCTGTATCACAAACTGCTGCCCAGAAGAAGTGCTGGTCACACCAGGAAAGGTGCTCTGGCTCTTGTCCAACCCTGCTCCTACTCTTCCTTCATGCAAAGATGGCAGAGACCTGGCAAACTCTCCAGCTGGTGTGTCACCAGCTGCCAAAAGGAGTTCTTTCTTAGCTCCTTCTCGTGTTCTGTGCAAGGTCCAGCATTGTTTGTTTTGGGTTTAGCACTGCAGACCACTTCAGGGAAATTCAGGGAATTGATGTTTTCAAGCCCCTTTGCTTGGTGCTCCTGTGCAGCCTGTGCTCTGCAGGGCTCCTGTGTGAGCTCAGGAGTGTGGTCAGTCTTTCCTGTGACCAGTGGCAGGAACTCCAGAGTTACCAGCACAGATCTGTGCTGTGTCACATGGAGCAAGCCCAAGTGCTGTCTGCTTATTTGGAAATTTGTTGCTGAGAAGCCCATGAATCTTGGCTATTCTCACAACTCTGTGAGAGATTAATCTTGCTAAATCCTCCTACTCCTTCCCTATTGGAGAAACAGATTCAGCGCAGGACAAGCTTTGTGACTCACCTCTCTGTTGGCAGAGCCATCTCCCATTAATCTAACTCCCTGTCTAATGTCCACATTTGGCAGGCAGGCAATCCATCTCCAGTCCAGCTCTGTCCAGGATCCAGCTCCCCTGTCACTCAGAGCTTTCCTACACTGGGTGCCCTGCAGGGCTTCTCCCTGGCAGGACAAGGGCAGCCTGCAGCCCACTGCCCAGAATGACAGCAGGGGACAGAATTTGGGAAGGATTGCACTTGTTAGGCAAAGAGAGCCCTGGCTGCAGTGCCTGCTGGGCTCAGCACCTGTCCTGCAGAGCTGTGTTCATTCCCTCACCACACCCCACCTCATCTCAGCAGAACAACAGAGATGCACACAGCTCAGTCCCAGCAGCCTCGCTCTTCCTGGGGGCAGGTTCAGTCTGCTGAATCCAAAATTCACCCTGCAAGGAGCTGAGCACTGTGTGTCAGGACTGGCAGAGAGGGCTTTGCTCACAGAGCTGCAGCTCAGGGTGCCATGAAGGAGCAAGTCCCCCTGACACACTCCCTGCAGAGGGTCCCTGGGAGGTCACATTTGCTCCCATTGTGCTTTTTTGCCAGCTGCTTGTCCTTGTCTCAGGGACACTGCCTGTCTCTGGAGGGCTGCAGTGTGGGATGCCCTGTTACCTGCCCAGATTGCCTCCTGCCTTTACCTGGGTGCTGCTCTGGTTTAGGATGGACCTCACAGGCAGGCTGTACCACATGGCTTTCTTCATAGCCCATGGCTGTGGGAGAGGTTCTGCAGCCCTTAAAAGGTCCAGCACCATGATTCCTGCTGGAGAAAGGGCCATGAGCTGAAAGGGCGCTTTCCTACACTGGGTGCCCTGCAGGGCTTCTCCCTGGCAGGACAAGGGCAGCCTGCAGCCCACTGCCCAGAATGACAGCAGGGGACAGAATTTGGGAAGGATTGCACTTGTTAGGCAAAGAGAGCCCTGGCTGCAGTGCCTGCTGGGCTCAGCACCTGTCCTGCAGAGCTGTGTTCATTCCCTCACCACACCCCACCTCATCTCAGCAGAACAACAGAGATGCACACAGCTCAGTCCCAGCAGCCTCGCTCTTCCTGGGGGCAGGTTCAGTCTGCTGAATCCAAAATTCACCCTGCAAGGAGCTGAGCACTGTGTGTCAGGACTGGCAGAGAGGGCTTTGCTCACAGAGCTGCAGCTCAGGGTGCCATGAAGGAGCAAGTCCCCCTGACACACTCCCTGCAGAGGGTCCCTGGGAGGTCACATTTGCTCCCATTGTGCTTTTTTGCCAGCTGCTTGTCCTTGTCTCAGGGACACTGCCTGTCTCTGGAGGGCTGCAGTGTGGGATGCCCTGTTACCTGCCCAGATTGCCTCCTGCCTTTACCTGGGTGCTGCTCTGGTTTAGGATGGACCTCACAGGCAGGCTGTACCACATGGCTTTCTTCATAGCCCATGGCTGTGGGAGAGGTTCTGCAGCCCTTAAAAGGTCCAGCACCATGATTCCCGCTGGAGAAAGGGCCATGAGCTGAAGGCAGCAGTTCTGTGCTCACAAAAGTCCTGCAGAACTGGGGACAGTGTAACACAAGACAGAGTGTGTCCACACAAAGAGGGAGGTGACAAAACATGATTGGGAGGGACACAGCCCCAGCACTGCCCTGTTTGCTGGGCACACCTGAGCCAAATGCCCCAAACTCTTGCCCAGAGTCATTTCTCACATGCCACCCTACTCAGCCAGCCAAACAGCCCTGCCTTGCTGAGGTTCTTCTGTGGGTCTTTTTTCTGGGAACATTCCCACTGCCCCACAGATTCAGGCACTACCTGTCACCACAGCCTGGCAGCTCCCCCCATCTTTATTCTCTCCGAGTACTGTGTCATTTGCAGACTCCACGGTGTCAGCCTTGTGATTAGATTCCAATGCCTTTATGAATAATTTGTTGCGCAATTATAAAGCAAATATTTAATTGAACTTTATGTAAAATTGCTTCTGCCTCTGAGCACTGAACCCCAGTTTTGGGAGAGGGCTCTGCATGACCCCGTTGGGCTCTGGGTGCCCTATGACGAGGCAAGCAGAGAAGTGCCAGCCCCCCTCCCAGCAGCCCGTGCCTGCTTGCAACCAGCTGGCCCTGGTGCCTCAGCTGAGCCTGTCAGGGGACCACCAGGGGATGGCTGCACACTGGCCCCAGAGACTGCTGCAGATGCAGCAGCTGCGGGATTGTGGCCAGCCCCCCTTCCCTCGGGAGCGTGTCCTCGGGCACAGGCAGGAGACGTGTCTCCCTCAGCTGCAGCATTCCCACAGTGCCACCAGTGCAGTGCTCTGCACAAAGGATGGCACTGTGAAAAATGTCTTTGTGACAAGTGGATGGCAGTCAGGTTTCAGCACAAAGATGAGGACAGGTGCAAAGACCCTGGATTTTCTTCTTTCCAGTCCTTTCCCTTCCAGGACAAGACCGGAGTATGCAGTTGGAAGCCTGCACTTCAGCTGACTCTTCAAGGGAAGGTATTCCTCATTGGCCATGTCTCAAGAGCATGGGGCACCAGTCTGAATTGATAACAGGAGCTTTGGAGCCAGGGTGCCCATCTCAGCACCTGCAAGGGCCTGTGGTCTGTGCAGGAACACTCAGAACCAGACATCACCCACAGGCTCAGCTGGAAGTGGCTGATCAGGAAAGGTCTGGACACACCTCGGATTGGCCATGGCATCGCCTCTGCACAGGAAAACATCTGTATCAGCAGAACCAACAGAACTGGACGAAATCCTAATTTACCATGGTCTGTAAAAGAGGCTGAAGTGCCTATTTCCAGTGAGGCGAATTTGAAATTGAAAGAGGAAAACGAGTGCATTGAAGAGATCAGAAGCTCCTTTCCAAGCCTGTATCTGGTGCAGGTAATTGCTAACTGACCTGGAGGGGCTCTTGAAATCGACCTAATGCAGCAGATTCTGCTGCTCAGAGTGGCTCCAGGGCTGGGGACAGCATGTGCTGGCACTGTCCCTGCAGTGCGCTGGCACGGGAGCACAGGCTGGGCAGTGGGGGGCACAGCATGGGAAAGGGAAGGCCTAAGGCTCCCCCCACAAGTACCTCAGCCTGGCCTGAGCATGTCCAGCTGGAAGGGCCTGGTCAGCTGCTGGAGCTGGACACTTGTCCTTGCACAGGGCAGGGCTGTTTGCAGTGATGGGGGACCCAAGGCTTGGAACCTGGAGCCTTGGGAGGTTGGAGCAGGAGCAGCTGTGCTGGCATACCGGGAAAGAAGGGATGGATGGGGGGTCTGGTCAGAACTTGGCAGCTCAGGAACTGGGTCTGGACAACCAGGTGGGAGCTGGAGCTCCTGGGAGGCTGCAGTATGCAACATGCCCTGCTGACATGGGTGTGTGGTTATTGCTTTCTCCGCACAAACCAGTGAAGAATGTCAGTCCCCTGTGGGAGCCTGGGGTTATTCCCTTCCCCAGCAGCACTCTCTTGCCTCTCATCCCAGCTTGGGCAGCCCTTTTACTCAGCTCTTGCTTTTATGCCTCCAGATGAAGCAGCACAGCTTACCCTTTGGCTCGCAGCCACACGTCCCCTGCTGACAGCACACCCCAGGACCAGGCCCATTAGCTTTTGCCCCTGGCAGCTTCCCTTGCTTCCCAGCCCTTGTTCCTTTCCACTCACAGGCGTTAAAGGTTCCTTTCAAGATACACCTTTCTGCTTCCTCTGCAATCCAGACATTTCTTTAATAAATCACATCTGTACTGTCTCTGTGATGTCTATTTGGCTTTGAGCTGTCATCTCCACTGCTTGTTGTGCCCAGCGTGAAATGCTGCCACTCTGCCTATAACAACTGGAGGTTGGGGCAGTTATTTGTAGCAGTCATTCAACATTTGCTTTACTGGTCCAGGCCCAGACTAAAGGAAGCCCAACGACAAGTGCTTGGCTCTGCTAATGGGCAGGCAGATGAATTGCCCCTGCTGTGGGATGTGTTCACAAAGTGCCCTCCCTTCAGTGGCACAGGGACTTGTTCCAAGTTGTTTGCTCCCAAGACTTACATCTAGATGCACAGATAACTGAAGCTATGCCCTAGATATGCAATATAAAAAAAAAACAGGGCAAAGAAAATGAGGAAAGGCAGAGGTTGGGGCCATCAAGTCTGGGTTGCATCCAAGGATCCCAGCTAGATGGAAAGCTTAGGACCAGGGCTGACTGGCAGGAGGACCATGATACAGCCTCCCTTTGTCCTTCTCTCCCCAGTCCATGCAAATGCAGGCACACAGACTCTGTCTCACACACACTCTTCTGTAGCCCCGAGGTCAGCCAAAGGCAGAGAAAAATGAGGTTCAAAGCAATTGCAATCTTCCTGTGATAATTACAGAACTGTGGTGCAGTGAAAGTCACAGTCTGGCTGCAGAAAGCAGCTGGAGAGGCTGTAAGCTGGAAACCAGTTGTTTATTTCTGTTACTAGGATGGTCTTTGGACTCACACCCCAGAAAGGAAGAGTGATGTGAGCACTGCTGGAGCCCTGAGTGCAGCACTGGGAAGGGTTTGCAGTCTGGGCTGGGAAGATCACCACGGTGTGGCTGGGAAGGACCAGCAGAGCCCTCCTGAACCCAAGGCATTGATTCAGTGCCTGCCTCTAGGAGGTGCTGCATCAGCCCCAGCTTGTCTTTCATCACGCCCTGTCCCCTCTGACTCCAATCCTGCTCAGCCACCACCACTGTTAAATTAACTGGCAATATAGGTGCACATGCAGCCAGTTCCCTGGCTTCCTGCATCCCGGGGCAGCCCCACTGCACTGAATTTAAAGTTACACTTTCCTTGTGCCATTTATTGTCCTGCTGTTGTGACTAGCAGGCTTCTGTGAGTATCTGACAGGGTTCTACAGCTTTTCCAAAGTGCATCTGCAGGAATCTGAACCTGCCAAAGATATGCTGTAAGTGCATCATGTGGGGCTCGTATGCTCACTCAATTACCAGGATCCAAAGAATGATCCCAACTTTCTAGAAATATTTGTATTTCCAAACTGTGTAATTCTGTCTTCCCTACTACATTTCAAACAGTCCAGCACAGATATTTTTAGAACAGATTCAAACACAGTCCATCATGTCCCTTGAGCACATAATTAAGTAGTCACCTGTTTAGCTGTTGTATTCCTGCCTTTCCTTTTTCCAGGCATACCATCCTACCAACCCACCTTGGAATTGTTATTTTCCTGAAGTTAGCTGTGGCACGCTCATGGAATGGCACCTCTTGGCTGTTTTCACCACTTCAGAGTGTAAAGGCTATGAGATGCTCTTACTGGCCCCAAATCCTCCAGAGCCATGGCTATGGCTGCAGCTTTTATGAATATACATTCTGAATCACATTTTCACAGGCTTTACAAGGATATGGCTTAGGGCCATGTTTGTTGTAACTTTGAGTTTTCTGGGAAATACTCCTGCTTTCTGTAGCTGCTGCATATCCACTGCCAGTGATGATTTTTCCTCTGCAGTGGGTGTTCCTCTGGGTGGGCAGAGAAGCCTTCTTGCCCAGCAGACTTGTTCTGTTGCAGCTTCTGGCTCTTGTACATATGCTGGTCTTTCCTGGTGTGCTATTGCCATATGCAGAATTTCACAGATTAGTCTGTGTTCAGAATTCTCACAGATCCTCAGCTCCAAGGTTTTACTGCAGGTCTTTAATTCTGTCACATATTGATCGACTGTTTCTGCTTGCTTGAAAAGGATTGGAAATGTTAAAATGATTCATTGTTTTGTGGGATACACAGTCGCATTTTGTTATGTTTCTCTTACACGTTCCTTTCCTCCTCCCACCAGCAGCACAGAGACCAGGGCTTTCACGTTAGTGCTTCTTTCATCTGCACTAATTGCTAAGTGGATCTCAAACTGCCTGACAGTTTCCGTTCTCTACTGCATCCCAGCAGGGAAGGATTTAATGCTGGACCCTGTGATACGCTTGTTAGTTCTTCCAAGAGCTCCTGGAAACCACTAAAGTTCATATTTAAATTTTGTCAGAGCCACCTTGCAGAGAGAAGTGTATGTATGAGGAACGATTGCCTTCATTGGGGCTGAACCAGCGCTGATAAAAGTGACTTAGCCCTGAAGAGCGAATCTCAGGGAGTTAAAAATAATTTCCTGGAGTATCTTCCTGTGGCCCCAGTTCTGAGAATTAGCAAAGAGCTTGGCATTCTGAAAGCCCAGCCCAGAGCCCGTCAGTGGCAGCACACCCTGGCTGTGGGGGGATTCTGTGCCCAGACCCTGTGTGGGTCAGGCAGGGTGTGAGCTGTGCCCAGCACAGCTGAGGGAGCCACCCCTCCTTCCTCCCCCTGCACCTGCAGACCACAGGTGACCCTCGAGGCACCCCCAGCAGGGCACGACTGCCCCTTGCCCTCCTGTCTGTGCTGCCAGGACACATCCAGGTTTGGCAGGGAGCCCTCCTGGCATGGGCTGGGAGGGGAGGTCAGCCCCTGGCACACACGGGGATCCTGGTGCTGGGAGCTGCCTCCTGGCAGAGCAGAAGCCTGCAAGGGCAGCTGGGTGAAAATGAGCCCTTTGCTCCTGTGGTGCCCTGGGATTCCTCACTCCAGGCTGCCACGAGCTGGATGGCTGTGCCCAAGCAGGGCCATGCCATGTCCAGAATATGGCTCCTTAGGGAATCCTTGGAATTGCCTTTGGAGAAACAGCAGCAGCCTGCACCGTGGCTCTGGGGCAGGGATGAGGAGCAGGCTCCACTTGCCATTTCCTTTTCTTAAACTTCAAATGTGCCATCAGACGTAAATTATTCACTTGTAATCCCTGGAGCTGGCAGCAGCTCAGAGAGGATCCAGCTCAGGTGATAAGAAGGAGGAAAGAAAAAAGAGGAACCCATTAAATTTAAAAACCTCTGAGAGTCACAAAATGTAGAAATATATTCAGGACAGGAGCCAGGCCAGGATAGGGAAGCTGAGGGTCTGGCACTCACAGCTCTCTGAGTAGTGGGGTGCCATGAAAGACAGGGCTTGGTGGTTCTGAGTGCTCTGCTCTTTTACCCCTTCTAACTCCTCATCCTGCTTTGTCCTGTGTCTGGGTGAAGATGGAAGGAGAAAAGAGCAGGAAACATGTGCAGAACCCTGCTGGAGTGTCCAGCCCAGACTGGGAGCAGAGTCCTGCTCTCCAAGGATGCATTTGGGGGATGCCCTCTCCCTCTCCACAGCCAGACCCCTGGATCAGTCTCCTGAAGGTGTTGAGGATCCCCAAAGTCAAGGTGTGGGAGCAGCTGTGTCACAGCACCAGCAACACCCAGCAGCACTGTCCCCAGGGACATGGCCAAGATGCCCAGAGCTGCCTTGGCTCCTGCAGCATACTTGGAAAGCTTGTTTACTTGGTCCTGATGCAGTTACCATGTTAACTGAAAGCAGAGAGCAGCCCCTGGCAAGGCAGGGGCTGCAGAGAGCTGGAATGAAAAACATTTAAAGTGTTTCGCTTCACCAGCCTGGCTGCCCCTTTGCCCACCAGCTTTGGTCTGCTCCTGCAGCAAGAGCTCCATCACCTCTGAAGCAAACTGCATCCATCAGGGAGAAACACTCCCAGCTCCCAGGCCTGGGGGAGGATTCAGAGAGGACTGGTTCTCACAGCACTTGAGAGAACTGGTGGTTTTAGAGTCTCAAGGATCTTGTGCATCCTCTTGTCACTCGCTGCACACCAGCTCTCCATCCTCTGTGTTCTGGGCTCAGATCAGGACCCAGATCCAGACCCAGACTGAGCTTTGTGTCTGCAGCCTTTTGCAGCACAGCCCAAGCTGCCTGAGCTGGCTCAAATCTCAGCACTCCCTGTCAGCTCCACCCGTGTAACTGAGGTGAGAAAAGGGGCTGCAGGGGCTGCAGGGGCTGAGCCAGCCTGGCCTGGAGGAGGCAGCCTGAGACCCTGCAAGCAGATCAGCTGCCCCTCCTGCCTCGGCTGCTGGCACCTGCAGGGAGCCTGGATCCCTCCTCAGAAGAGCAGCCAGATGGGAAAGGTCTGTGTGAGTCTGATAACAGCAGTGCTTGGCTTCCCTCCCTGGCAGCCCTGCACGGGGCACACGAGTGCCTGTGTCTGGCACTGCAGGAAACAGAGGGGCCATGTGCCCGAGGCCAGGCTGGCATCTCTGCCCTTTAGAGCCCCCAGCACAGCTTCTGCTGCTGGAACATCCCCAGGGAGGGCAGGTGAGTGCTCACCCCGATGGTGAAGGGCAGTGGGAGGTGCATCCCCTCGGTGTGCTCAGACACTTGGCAGAGGCTGAGCCCCAGGTGCTGGGGATCAGAGTGCAAAGCCAGCACCTCTTCTCTAGCAGGGCTCAAGGCATTCATTCCTGCCCCAAAACTCACTGAAGGTCATGGAGTTGCTGGCTCTGGACCACCCAGGGCAGGACAGGAGCTAAAGGCCAGGCAGCTGCTTTCTTGCACATGGATGGCAGCAGAGAAGCTGTGGATGTGAGGGGTAAAACCAGGTGACAGAAAAGAACAAGGCAGTGCTTGTGGCAGGAGTGCTGAAATCCACTATCGTTCTACGCTCTAAACTTATTTTTAAAATTCTCTTTTCTCTGCAGATGGTGCAAACAAAGTGCCAAGTGATCTGCCCCCACTTTTCTGCACAGCAAGCAAGAAGACATCACTGCATCTAACAGGTGGAAGTGGGCACCTTCACCAGCAGGCACCAGCCCCAATTCATTCACCCTGCACCAGAGGCATCTCAGCAAGCCAAGCAGCTCTACCCTGCTTCACCCGTGGAAAGAACACAGCACCAGAGCAAGGCCAGGGTGCTGAGCAGGCCGGGGGAAGGTAGGCAAGGATGGAAGATGCTTTCTGTGGGTGGAAGGGAGAGGAAGGTGTGGGTAAAGTCCCCACATTCCCTGGGACCATGGAAACCACTGGCAACAGGGCAAACATCAGGGTCACTTCTAGTTCAGCAAAAGTTCGTGTATGCTTCTGCAGCACAGCTCGCTGCCTCAGTGCTGGAAATTCTTGGTATTTGGGTGGAGGATGGATGTGATGGCAATGATAAAACCTGGGCTTTTCAACCCATTTTCACACTCGGGGCCTGTGAAGTGGGCTTGACCTGTTAGGTAGGTGAAGAGATCACAATGATGGTGCCAGGAGAGGAGGCAGAAATCAAGGCAGAGAGTGATGTCTGTGATCAGTCACATAACAACCAAAACAGAAAATAAAGCCCAACACACAACACTTGGCTTTTGCTCCTGCAAATCTGTCTGCACCCTTGTTATCAGCAAATCCAGAATCAGCCTCCAAATCACTCCTTCACGTGGGGAAGGAGGTGACAGGGATCAGCAAGGCATTGTAAAATTGGTTCTATTTTTACATGCACAGAAGGAACAAGGACTGCCCATCACCTCTGTTCCCCCTGACAGCAGGACTGGCACTGCAGGGCCAGCAGTGCCCAAACCCTTGGTTTATACTGTCCTTGGCTGCAGAGGCAGTACGGGCCTTTCCTGGGCATCCTGGCACTTCAGGGCTGTGAATATCCCAGGACATTCTGGAACCACTGGCTCCTGCTTGCTGGAGCCTCCCCACCTCTTCCTGGCTTTTCCAGGATTTCTGAGCAACGAGGCTGCAGCTCCTGGCCTGACTCCACAGCCATGGCCGTGCTCAGCTCCTGCTCTGCAGCACCGTGGAGGGCAGAACATCAGTGCCCTTCCCCGAGGGTGGCTGCAGGGTCACCCCTGCACCAGCCAGGCTGATGTCCCTGCCCAGGGCTGGTGCCTCAGTGCTGCAGCAGCCCCGTGCTGACCTCCAGACCCCAGCAGAGCTGTGAGGAGCAGCTCCCCACAGACACTGCTCCCCATGGGCCCCACTCTTCCCCAGTTCTCTGTGCCTGGGGCTGCAGAGATCCCAGCACCCCAATCCCTGCAGCCCGTCCTGCCCTGTGCTCGCTGTGCTCTCAGGAACAAAGCCTCTCCCAAGCGGGCTGGGCTGCCTTGCCTGCAACTAAATATTCAGATGCACTGTGCACTGGCCCTTTGATCAGCAATTTATCTCTCCATGCCACAAGTTTCCTGGAGCCTGGCGTTTCCGCCCCGTGCTCAGCCCAGGTCCCAGGAGCCCCAGAGACAGGTGTGAGGAATTAGCTACAGGGACTCATGCTCTGACAGGAACCAGCACCACAAGCAGGGGACAGAGTGTAATGTTTATTACATTTGAAGCAAAGCAAACATGTGGCCTACTTATGTATCTAGAAAGAATTAATTGGGGAGCTCCACAAAGCAGCAGATTATAAATTAGAATAATTTTCACCAACTTCAGCCCATTCATCTTGTTTCACACCAGGCCTGTCAGCTCAGGCTGACGTGGCTGAGTGCAGCCCCAGGCCCAGCTGCTGTCTGCTGGCACAGGAGGCTCTCAGCAGCCAGACCCATGGGCACAGCCTGCCAAAACCCATGGCAAGCACGTGGGCTGGAGCCAAGGCACTCACCTTTAATGGAAACGAGCTCAGAGCCTCAAGAATGGCTCCAGAGGTGCTGAGTGCCAGCAGCTGCTGTCTGCAGGGGTGTCCAGAGTGCTCTGCTGCAGGGACAGCAGAGATGCTGGGCACCCACCGTGTGCTCCTCCACCCCTTCACGTGCTGGCAGCCTGCAGGAGCTGAGGTCTGGCAGGGCTGTGCACACACCTCCTTACACACCCCACCCTGGTTACAATTCCAGGGTAGGAATCAGGCTCTCCTGATGGGACAGAATGGACAACCTCAGGCCAGGGTCAGGTGGAGAACCCTTTGCACAGCTCAGAGCTCACTCCCAGGGACATCACCCATGATGTGCAGGTGCCTACCTGAGCTGCTGGGAATGTAATGCTCTGGGGGCCTTGGACTGACGCCTTGAGGAGGGGTAAAACCTCTTTGCAGCCAGATTCTGGTGCAAGGAGGAGCAGCAGGAATCACAAACTGGAAAAGCACCTCATGTCTGAGGTGCTCCAGCCCCACAAAAACCAGGCCCCAGGAGAGGCTCCAAGGGGCCACATCAGGAAATGACCCTGAGGTGTTTCAGGGATTCTGTCCTGGAGAAAAACATCACCCAGAGCAGTGACAGTATCCCAGATGGTGCAATCTCACTGGCTTGCTGAAAGCAGTGGATGAGAATAACACTGATTTGGCCTCCACTTACAGATCCCAAGGGACAGCCTGCAAAATACCATATGGATGCTGGGATCATTTTATTGCAAAAGGTCACCTGCTGCCTTCTGGATGAAGTGTAAAAAGAGCCAGTGGAGATGGCTGGCAATGCCTGTAGAAGAGAATCCATCCCTGAAATGCAGCTCAGGTCAAACCACTGCCACCATGATCTCAAGTCTCCAGCTCTTCACAGTGATCAGGGGTGGGCAGAACCAGAGGTGGACCAGAGCCTCAGCACCCACCTGTGCAAAGGAGAGCACTCCCAGGGCAGTGTCTGCAGGGCTCCAAGGCACAGACAGTCGAGATGGTTTCCACGCACCCACCTGTGCAAAGGAGAGCACTCCCAGGGCAGTGTCTGCAGAGCTCCAAGGCACAGACAGTCGAGATGGGAGGAGCAAAATCTGTCCCAAGAGTTCTCCTAGCCTGTGTGGTGTCTCCAGAGTGGCCAGGAACAAGTGCCTGGAGGGTGCTGGTGTGATGCTCTTCCTAACACTCTTCCAGACAGTTTTCAATTCAAAGAGACACGTGCCAATTTGTACTTGGTCTTTTTGACAAAACTATCCAGAAGTAGGAGCTAGCCTGCTGCCAAGGGCTTCAGAGATGTATATAACAGTCTTGTTTCAGCTGACAGGACTCAAAAAGCTTCATCCCGTGGCAGGGACTCTCATCAATCTGTTTTTAGCAGCTGAAACAACCTGCACTGCCACAGGAGCTCTCAGGCTCAGCAAGCCCACCAGAGTCCAGCCTGGCAAGGGTGTGTGATCAGGATGGGCAGAGCCCTGCAGGCACCCCAGCCCAGGGCTCCAGACAGGTGCCAGGTGAGCTGCACCTGTGCCAGCCAGGTCTCTCTCCAGAGCAGCACCCGCCCACCCTCCACCACTGCTCTGTCTCACTACAGCCCTCCCTCCATGCCCGGCCAGCTGATAATTTGTGTTAGTTTGTTCAAATGTCACTATTAATTAGTATAAAAACACTATTAGCAATGTTAATGTGTTCCAAACAGTTCTGAGCATTGGCACTGTGTGAAAGCAGAACTGGGGCAGAGACCAAGGCAGCAAAGCCAGGCCTGGGCATGGGCTGAGCTGAGAATGAACCAGCATTGTCCCTCCCTCAGCTCTGCTCTCCCTGGTATGGCAGTCAGGAAAAGTTGGACTGAGCAGATTTGTGTTTGTGTGTGCTTGGGAATCATGACCACAGAAACGACCCAGCATGGGAATTTTAGGATTAAGAGAAAGGAGCTGAGGCAGGGGCATGGGGGTAGCAACAAAACCAAATGTAAAGTGGATGAATTATTTACTGCAATAAACAATTGTGAAGTCACTTACTCTGGCTCCATGCATTCTAAATGGGGGCTGCAGCGTTTCTCACATCTCCCTAGTGTGCTGAGTGATTTTTTTGCAATTGGATGCATGAGGCTGGGGTAATCTTATAAGAGACTCCAGAAGATCAGTTTAGTATTGATCATGTGCTGAATTTAAAGGCTTTCCACATCCATCTGCTGCTGTTCCTCAGGTGACAGCCCAGCAAAGATCTGGGTGCTCACTGGGCCCCTGCACCCCAGAGCAGCCTCATTTGGCTGCAGCCTGTGGCTGGGCTGATGCCCAGCAGCACGTGGGGCCAGGGCATCCCCCCAGAGCTCCGTTCAGGAGCCAGCAGAGCCACAGAGCTGCTCCCAGCTGCCTCTGGATCAAGTCCCCCAGAGGATCAGGCTGCAGGTCAGCGGGGCCAGCTGGTTGTGACTGCAGTGGATCACAGCTCAAGCCCAAAGGGACCCATCACAGGGTGATGTGCCAGCAAGAGCTTGGAAGAACATCAATCCTGGGGAGACAGGGTGACAAGAACAGACAGAGAATGAGGAGCTTGGAAGAACATCAATCCTGGGGAGACAGGGTGACAAGAACAGGCACAGAGAGAGCACAGGGAGGAGGACACATGGAGCAGGACCTCTGCTGTGTCTCCTGGGCTCTGCAGGTTTGCCAGGCACCTGGCTGCAAAGGGGGAGCCCAGACTCCAGAGACAACAGCCTGGCAGCAGGACAGTTGCTGTGACATGCCCACAAATGTGACAAGAAGAGGGAATTCGGGATTATGGGACTCTTGGATGTATTGTGTCATGATGAGGTTTTAGTTTTTCTTTTGCTAATATGCATATTGCAACTTGTAATGGAGCCATGAAAGCTGTGAGCCACATTTTCCAAATGACAACCTGCTCTATGATGCTAAAATATAAACTGGGTTTTTTTGCAAAACAACAAGAGTTAAACATATGAGAAATCTACTGATTTACTGAAATAGGACATGTGCAGGGTAGGAAAACAATGACACCTCCAGGTCCATATTTACTTAACAAAGGACCTGTGTTCAAGTAACTCTCACTGGCATACTCACAGAAGTTGAGTGGCTGAAAGTAAGAATACAATATAAAGAAGCCCTCTTTATCAGCAGAGAGAGCAAATCAGGGGCTTCTTCAAAATTCCCAGGCAAAAATAAGAGTCTAAAATCCATTTTGCAAAGCTGTCATCTGGAGTGAATGGGGGCTGCTGTCACCCAAGGGCAGCTCTGCAAAGTGCTGAGAGGCAACACCAACCACAGGGCAGGGCCCAGACAGGACCTCAGTGCACTGTACCTGGTCGGTGCTGAGATGCAGATCTTAATTCCAGACATTGATTAGGCATCCAGTTCCTCTGCTGCTGTTGTTGTTGCTGCTGTTGCTTTGTTTTCAATAGCTGCAGTTAAACATTTAACCTTTACATTGATGGAATGACCCAAACATGTTTTTCCAGGCTGGGCAGGAGCAAGGCTGCCTCACAGTGAGCAGAGGGATGTTTTTTCCTTTCAGCCTGGCAAATCAGTGTGCTGGGGGGCTGGCAGACTTGCAGGTGTCCCCTGCTCAGAACACATGGAAGGGCCTCAAAGGTACAAGCATTTCTCCAGACTGCCAGGTCTAACAAAGAGGTGAGCACAAGCCTCTGTCTTCTTGGCAAGCAGAAGAAGAGCAGCTCACAATTTGGACACCATGCAGCTGTTCCAGCTGGGAGGCTGGCTCTGGCTGGTGCTGTCCCATGCCTGTGGCTCTGCCAGCAGCTGAGGCACCCATTCATCATCCTGGCATTTTGGATGGCACAGAAAGAGTTACAAGAGGGAGCAGCAGAGTAATGGTGAGTTAATATGGTCCCATGTTTTTTACTACTCTCAGAATATTAAATTGATCGCCTGGTACCAAAGGCCAGAAGTGTCACCTCTCAACAAGATGAAATCTATGTAGCCTGTGGATAGGGGAAAGCCACAAGATTTATAAAGGCATCCATAAAATTAACATTTGAATGAGGATGTGGGAGAAGAGACCATGAGCTGCAGCAGCAGGTCTGCAAGTCCCTGCCACCCCTGCATTCAGAGCCCAGCAGGCACTGCTGGCTGGGTGCACCCTCCTGCCCCAGTGCCTCACCCAGTGGGGCCCCAGAGGTGCTCCAGAAAAGGGATTGCCAGGAAGCTTTGGGGAGATGGCAGCATTTTGGTAGTGCCATGGAGGGTAAGTGGCAAAGGGCAGAAACCTGCCACATCCTAGATCTCCCTGGGGAACCCCTCCCTGGCACTCACAGGGGCTCAGGCCCTCTCTCCACCCTCAGCTTCCTGCATGGCTCAGTGTGGGACAAGCACCCTGTCAAGGCTCCATCCCACTGCCCAGGTGCCCCAGGGCTGTCCCTTGCACAGCAGACACACAGACACCCAGCATCCCAGCAGCTTTTGGGGTGCACAGCTGCTGACACAGGGGCTCATTCAATGTTCTGCTTCACTGCCTGCAGAGCCAGGGGCTGGGCACCTCTCTCTGCCCTTCCTCTGCACAGCAAGGAAAACACTGCAGTCCTGCCACAGAACTGTGGCCAGGGAGATGTTGGAGCACCTCTGCTCTGGAAACAGGCTGAGAGCTGGGCTTGTTCAGCCTGGACAAGAGAAGTTTCTGAGGAAGCCTTAGAGCCCCTTCCAGTGCCTGAAGGGGCTCTAAGAGAGATGAAAGGAACTTTGTACAAGGGTATGAAGTGATGGAATAAAGGGGAATGGCTTCCCAGTGACAGAGAGCAGGGTTAGATAGGATATTGGGAAGAAATTTTTCCCTGCGAGGGTGGGGAGGCTCTGGGACAGGCTGTTTAGAGAAACTGGGACTGCCCCATCCCTGGGAGTGCTCAAAGCCAGGGTGGACAGGGCTTGGAGCAACCTGGGACAGTGCAAGGTGTCCCTGCACATCACAGGCTGTTGGAATTAGATCATCTTTAAGATCCCTTCCAACCCAGGCCATGTTAGGACTCTGTGATTCCATGACCCCACAAACCTGCTGTTATCCCATAAGACAGTGCTTGGGGCCACCCACTCACCCAGAGCACCCCATCCCACATTGCACAGATGGATTCCTGTCCCTGGGCCCCTCGGTGTGTGCCACAAGGGTGGCAGTGCCAGCCACTGTCCTGGCTGCCCTTGGTGTGTGCCACAAGGGTGGCAGTGCCAGCCACGTGTCCAGCTGCCCCTCGGTGTGTGCCACAAGGGTGGCAGTGCCAGCCACGTGTCCAGCTGCCCTCGGTGTGTGCCACAAGGGTGGCAGTGCCAGCCACGTGTCCAGCTGCCCCTCGGTGTGTGCCACAAGGGTGGCAGTGCCAGCCACGTGTCCAGCTGCCCTCGGTGTGTGCCACAAGGGTGGCAGTGCCAGCCACGTGTCCAGCTGCCCCTTGGTGTGTGTCACAAGGGTGGCAGTGCCAGCCACGTGTCCCGGCTGCCCTCGGTGTGTGCCACAAGGGTGGCAGTGCCAGCCACTTGTCCCACTGCCCCTCAGTGTGTGCCACAAGGGTGGCAGTGCCAGCCACTGTCCTGGCTGCCCTCGGGTGTGTGTCACAAGGGGGGCAGTGCCAGCCACGTGTCCCGGCTGCCCTCGGTGTGTGCCACAAGGGTGGCAGTGCCAGCCACGTGTCCCGGCTGCGGGCGCACACCTGGGGCCGCTGCTGCCGGCGGCGTCACTGCGTGCAATTAAAGGAATGAAATGTTTATACAGGAATAAATCTGTGCTAATGAGCTGCATCCTGCCCTGACAGACTCTGAAACACAGCAAGGAACATGGGGGAAGGTTTGAATGTGCTCTGCTCCCAGCCAGCAGCCAGGCCTGGGGATGGAAGTGGGGAGGGAAAGGGAAGCAAAGCCAGGCAGGTGGCTGCTGGAGCACAGGAGCCACTGGTTCTTTGATTCCCATTTCTGGTTCCCTGGCAAGGAGTCAGCAGGAGAGACCAATCCTGTGTCAGGCTGGCTCAGGCTGAGGAGGTATTTG